TCAAATTTAGTTCATGGGCACTATTGGATTATCCCTTTTTCTTCTATACAAATATACAAAGTAGCAATAGACAAGGGCTAAGCCCAAAATTGTGCAAGCTACGTAAGGCTAATAAACCTGGGCTAACGGCTAGCCCAAGCTGAAACTCGTGTTCGAGGTGCAGACTGTGTAGTTGTTCCGCCGTCATCTTGCCGCCAAGACTTCTCAGGCCGGCGAACTTTTCTCTCTTTATTGATTACATAACCTAAGGTTCAGCTTTCATCGTGTTTTAATCGCCGACGTTGTACTACGATGGTGCGTTCAAAGGCTCCGTCGAAGAAGCAGCAGAAGCGCGGCATAGATTTTAAAGTAATTTTCTTTTCAGCTTTCAACTTTCTTGTGTTATGGCTTAGGGTTTTTCTTTTCCCCCCGAATTGCAATATTAATAAGGGTGGTTCTTTGGCAGAAAATAAAGCGAAAACTTGGCCGGAAATTGCCTCCGCCGCAGAATGCTACCAACACTGAAATTAAATCCAAAGGTAAATATAGGCGTTTGGTATTGAATGATTGAAGGTTCTGTTTGTTTTGATGAAATAGAAAATAACTCAGAGTTGAAGGATTGTTGTTGTTTTGGTTTTTTGGAGTCTTGAATTGGATATATGAATTACTAGCAACTATCAAAATCTGATCTTTTGTACTGTGAGCAGCAATTGTGCTTCCTGAGCAGAGTGTGGCTGCGGAGAAGACAGGCTTAGCTGTGAGTAGGAAGGGATTGACCTTAAAAGAGCTTCTTCAGCAAACATCCCATCACAATTCGAAAGTTCGAAGAGGTATTTTTGTAGCTATTACTTGAATATATGTTGATAAGTTTGTATTGGTGATATTGATGCAACCTTGCTAATAATGCCCAACTTGCGTATTTAGAAAAACTGGAACTTCATTTTATTTTTTTCCCTGATGTGACTTAGTGGGGATTTTCTTCTTAGTAATCTGAAATATAAACTTGGCAAGTAGCTTGTGAGAAGAAAAATCTCTCAGCCACCCTTGTTGGTATTAGTTGGCATCAGATGTTTAGTTTCCAGACTAGAAAGTGAAAGCACAATATATGCAACATAGGATTTGAAGTTCAGTTTTCTTGTTGGTGGCATGTGATTGATGGAAACACTGATTTTCATAACTAATTTAGAAGAATTCTGGTTTTCCATTATTCTTAACTTTGCTTAGGTTTTAGTGCCCATACTGAGTGTTGCATTCAGTCTTGATACATTTTCTGTTTCACTTTAAAGATGCACTAATGGGCATAAAGGATTTATTCGTCAAGCATCCAGCGGAGCTGAAGTCGCACCTTTATGTTGTTATTGGAAAACTCCGTGAGCGCATCAGTGATGATGATAAACTGGTCAGAGAAGCACTATATCAACTGTTCAAATCAGTGATTTTTCCTGGCTGTAATCAGGTGGCCTTCTTTCTTCTGTCTTTCTGAAATCTCGCACTCTAGCTAAGTGGTTACTTCATTCCTATTTGAATTTGTGATGAATTGATTTGCTATTACATTAATTTCATCATGATTATCATTGCTGCTGTTATTTTCTTCATTTCTCTTACATTTGGTTTTTTTCTTTTAATGTCCAGGATTATGAAGGGCCTCTAATCTCTCTAATGATGGCATACATTTTCTGTGCAATGACAAATTTTTCAATTGAAGTTCGTTTGATGGCCTTCAGGTTTTTTGATCTTGTTGTACAGTATTATCCAGGCTGTTTTTTCTCATATGCTGAAAAGGTGCATAAGTCTTTCAACTTACAAATTATTTTATTTTAACATGTGATGCTTTTACTGGATTTGATGCAAGCAACCCATTACTTATATGGGTACTGAAGGGTCATATGATGATTTCTCAACAGGTGCTCCAGAACTATGAAGATATTTTACGACAAAACAAGTTTTACGTAGAAGATAAGGGAAAGCTGAAGAATGCTCTTGCTGGATTAGTTCATTGCTTGTCATTGTTAACAAGTAATAAGCAAGAACGTGAAAAGGTACTAGGTATCAGTCACAGATATGAAATTCCTATGTTACTGATTTGTTGGGGGAAAACTTTTAGGCTACTGACATTTTTGTAGTTATATAACAATCCCTGTTTGCTTCGTATCTATGAGCTGTAGAAGTTCAAGACTTGTGTTAAATGAATCTGGATATTTTTACTTCTGGTTTGGAAGTCTAGGTTGAGATTCAGGAATGATGAAAAATGCCTGAAGCTTTATAAAGTAGAAAATATGCATCTCAATGCTTTTTGGCTTGCTCCTAACTTACTGCACAGATGGTGCCATCATGTCATAAAGATGCATAAACTTATGGCATGGTCAGATGTATATTTCCAATTACATTTGATTAATTTGAAGTGGGCTTTGATGTTGCCCAAGATGCTGCAAGGTGGTTATAATGAAAATGAAAAGGAATAAATATTCTTAGAGACCAACTAACTGCCTTTGACATAATGCTTGTCTAAGTTTTGTATTTTTGGGTTAGAGTACCTATATTAGGATATTGTCTCCCATACCATTCAATGTCTTTTTCTGGTTAAGTACATCAAACTATAATTGAGATCATTTAATTTTTTTCTCTTATGCTTATCTGCTTCACGTTAAGCTCTTTACGCTTTACCATTTCTAATTCTGCCTCCATCCAACTAATGATATGCCTTTTTGCATTGAATTTCTTAGGCCATTGCTGAGAAAAAGGTACTGCATGCCTATGAGCTTGATGCACCTACAGGTACATAACATCATCAATAAGTTTTCCTATCAATTTTCTCATTTTTATGCTCCTTCATCATATTAACATTTGTATCCTCACATCATAGTGATATTTTGCTGATATGATTATGTTGTAACTCCTCAATCTTGAGCTGACAAATTTATAGTTGTTTGAGTGATTCTTACATGTTAATTAGCATTCCTCTCTTATTTTTTATTTTTATGATTTACAGTTGTCTATAATCTTGCATCCTGTGTTGCCTCTTTGAAATATTCAAGTTAATTATCCACTCTGCAGTAAAGAAAAGAAGGATGGAACAATTCTTTTGAATTTTCATTTCTTTTTGTCTGTCTTCATTTCTTAAGTATTCTCTTTTCTATTCTCTTGTTGGTGGGTGAAGTGAGTAGTCTATGGTTGTCTTACCATCTGTCTTTCTGTTTCCATAGGGGTTTCTATCAGCATTGATAGACTCAAGGAGCTTGTGCAAGTTTTAATTGGTTGCTTCCAAGAATTTATTCCATTGTTTAATTCTACGACGGAACTTGATGCACAATCATTTCATTGTATTCTCAGTATACTTCAGAGTATAGATATTTCTATGGAGTTTCTAATTTGCAGCATCCTTAAGGAAACACCACAATCAAAATTTCTTCAAGTACCTGATCCGACCATGCTTGATCAAACCTTCTCGTCAGTGCTGCTAAAGAAGTTATTGGGTGTATTTCCCCTCAATCCAAAGTATCACCTTTTTGGAAAGGTATCTCATCAAAGTTACATTTTGTTAGGTGGGAAAATACCACATTGGTGAACAGTGAACTAAAGGGAAACTTTTGGAATTAAACACAATATGGACTATTTCAACCATTTTCAACTGGTTTTAGGTTGGACATTCAGGGTGTATTTAACAGTTACATTTCCCTCTTGCATGCGTATTTATTTTTAAACTAGTCAAAAAAACGAAGGCATTTTTCTTTTTGCAACTCATAATGGTTGTTCTTTTGGCAGTTGTTTACTCAACAAGCTATTTGTTGAAGTTAATATCAACAAATTAGGTTTTAAATAATTTTCTTGGTCTTTTAGTGCTTAGCCCTCTGTCTACCAACTGTTTCTCATTTCATTTGAAATTTTACTGGCAACATAAACAAATATCTATATGTTCTGTTCTTTAGCAGTTTTGATTCTTCTGTTTTGCATTGCAGGAGGATGATAGATTTTTTGTCTTGAACATTCTGATCTCAAAAACATTTTTGCACCTTCGTGAATGGATCAACCCACCGGCTAGTTTGTTTGAGAACTATCTGGAATTTATAGTAAATGCACTGCTTGGAAAGGTCTGATTCTTGAAGAACCTCACATTCCTTCATATCTGTGACATTTCTTAAATTACTTGGTGGAGCGAGCACTTCACATTTATCAGTTTGATAAGTAATTAATTTTCATGTTTTTATTTTTAGTTTATTTTGGATCTGTTGGTAAACATTTTGAACTCATTAAGGTGACATTAGTTATATTTGGCTACTTGTAAGTTATAGAATAAACGTTTTCCCTGATATAACCTTCTTTGAATTAATTTTTATGTCAATGAGTGTTGTAACACTGTCTAAGTACTCCATTTTACAGGATTGAGTACACTGTACAGACCTTATCAAATTGGTTTTCATAAATTTTTACTGGGATTATTCTTTTTTAGATTTGCAGTGATACCATATCTGGAAGAGCAATCTGGGAAAAGCATTTACCTTCATTGCTTCCTTTCATACCAGAGCTTGTATTGGAAGTGGCTGGTGATTGGCAGCCTCGTCTTCTGGAGGTTGAGATGCTTTTTTAAAGGGTTTCTTTGAAGCATATTATATGAGTTTATCTTCTTTTGTTAAATTGCTTTTTCTTGGTTGCTGAATGACTTGTGGTTCTACATTTTTGTTCACAAAGCTCTAGAGGATGTTAAAAAATCAAATCTTCATTACAGGCATTTACCCAGACATTCAAGCTGTGCAGTCCAGACTCTTCACTTAAATTATCTTGTCTTTCTGCAGTGGAGAAAATGTTAATTCCAGTAAGCTCAATCTCTCACCTATTGGTAGACCTTTTCTGTTTGATGGAAGTGATTACTGGTAGACCTCCTCTGACATACCACAGTATTATTTACATTGACATTTTCTTTCCATCTTTTAGAGAGGAGACACTTTAGACCTAGATGCAAATGATCCAGTAGTAGTAGATTATCAGATTTCTTGGATAAGAGAGCTGCCAATATTGTTAATCCTTTTGGGTGATAAACACCCAACCTCTTCACAGGTATTTTACCTAATGAGCATTTACAACTGCTCTCAAAAATCATAATGTTTGAGTTTGGGCAAGATTTTTCAAGTTGATGTTAAAGTACCTTGTATTAGTTTATCATAACAATATAACATATATATCAGATTGACTATTTTCTTGAAATTGCAATTCTTATCAGGTTGTTCTGCGCCTTATTCTTAAAGTTGGGCAATTTGCTTGCTCAATCTCTTCTCGTGCGATAGAATATGAGAATATTCAATACTCAATCATGGAGTTTTTTGGCACATTTCAAGGAGGTAAATTATTTAGAAGAATCCATTTCTAGAATACACATTCAACACTATAATTAGGCTTCTGTTTATACTAGTTGTTCTTTTGTTGCAGGAAACATATGTTATGGTCCTTTCACAAAGCTTCCAAGGGATTGTCAGGAATTGTCTCTGTCTTGCGTTTATTATTTCTCCAACATAAATCTAGATTTATTGAGGTCTATAGCATCTTGTTTCCTGTGTAAGTGCTAGTCGCTAAGTTGTTGGTTTGATTCTTAGGCAATCTTTTTTGGATTTCTTCTTCCTCAAGTTCAGATTCATTTATGCCAAAGTGAATTCTTCAAATGCTAAAATTTTTAATTAATGCTTTAATAATCCTTCAGTTTGTAGTGTCTGCTTCAACTGTTTTTTATAGTGATTTTCTCCTCTACAGAGCAGGCCATAGTTGTTTGGTTGTGAAGTAATCTTCTTCTTTCAAGACTAAGGATAAAATGCTCTTCTATCTTTCCTTATTATGGTAGTTAGTACAAAGGAAAATAACATTTAAAATTGGAGACTGATGGACTTGAGGTTTCAAAATTCATTCTAAAGAGAGTCACTCTTGTATTTAAAGATTTATGGGTAATTGAGATGAATATAAGTTGCTTCTGTTTTATGGTGGATGATGTGAACATTAATTATGGCCTCTTGATGCTTATAGAGGCCACAATTCCTCAACAGCCATGAAATGTACATTCTTTATGTATCTTTCTTCTCCCCATATTGCAGGTCCTGAGTTAGAGCCCTTTTTATTTTTCCGAAGTATAGAGGTTCTGCAGTCGGCCTATAAAGCTGGACATATCCAGATTTCTGATCAATTAAGCTTCTTAATCACTTTAGTAACCCGTTTTAATGTTGGTATGTTGGAATTGTTCATCACTCTTGGCATCCTTTATATTATCGTTTATTCTTTTTTCTTTGTTTTTTGTTATTGATTATTAGTTTTGTTTCTGAAAGGCACTTTGTAATTTACAGATATGGAATCATTCCGAACATTCCAAACATTCAAGTCACTCACCTGTATTGTTTTCTCATGCTTGGAAAGTATGGGGGATGGTTCCCTTATTCTGCAAATGGTAGAGGAACTAATTCTTGAGCAGATAGTGAGTTGACCTTGATGACTTTACCTGTTTGTATATCTATCATATCAATGACATCTGTTGTAATGGCATCTAGGTCCTTTTCCTTCAAAATTTCCTTAAAAGCTAGACTGTTTAACAGTTTTAATTTTTTTTGTTTTCCAGTTGCTGAATCTACCAATTGTTAATGCATGTGCTATGCTCAGAGTAATCTGTAAGCTGGACTCTAAACCGACAATTCTTTCTGAAAAGAGTATTATTAATCTGAGCAATTTCCTGCCAGCATATTTAATCAACGTTGCACAAGTGAGTATTTCTTTTGTTTATATTGACCCAGACTTTTGTTTAACTGAATGATTTTTTTTTTTCTATTTTTCCCCATCATTTTCTATTTTTTGCGGAACCTTTTCACTTCATTTGTGCCCATCAACCTTTTTCAGTGATATGTTTGTCATTTTCTAATTATGTTAGTCATTTCCAGTTTTTGACTCATTTGGACATAGTTATGTTGAACTTATTAACTTCTGCTTACTGA